CTATGCGCTGAGTGTCGGTAAGAGTGACTGGGCATCCCGAAATGAGCTTCAACTTCGCCAAAGAATAGTGGACCAGGTTCTCTCCGTGCGCTTGCACGCGACAAGTAACAGCTTGTTGCCACTGTAGTAAGGTTTGCTTGGCGCTGAATTGGTCCAAGAAAGCTTGCCTGAAGGCTTCCCAGGTGGGACACTGACGGCCAATGGCTGCTTTCCAATCCGCGGCTGCTCCACGGAGCTTTCCCAGAGCGACGGCGAGTACGGTTGAAGGCTCCCACGAAGCTAGGTTTCGAGTTCGTTCCAACTCTTCAATCCAGTGGGACGCTGAAATGCTGCCGTCTCCATTAAATGTAGGAAGCGATGCGGACAGGTCTGGAAGGGTCGTGACCTGAACTGGCGCTGCAGCGCGTTGTGACACTTGAAGGAGCTGTTGAAGTAAACCCGTCAGCAACTCGGTACTTTGGGCTGCATCGAAGCTCGAAGGAAGCGGCCGTAGTGTTCGGGCGCTGGCTGGACGCTGAGGAGTCTGGGGAAGGCGACAAAGGCGTCATTGAGCGGTTTTGGGCTATATCGGCGAGGAGACGATTGATCACTTCTTCCTTCGGCCCCGTAGCGTCCAGGTTTCGGCGAACCAACTCTTCACGGAGGAAGTCTGCTGTAAAGCCGGCGAGGTCCTCAGGCGTAGCCTCGTTCCAGTTCACAAGCGGCATGGCGTTCACAAGAAATTAGCAGAAGGAGCACAAGACTCACGAGAGACGAAAAAGGCGGGCAGGTCAAGTTGGTTCGGCTCTGCAGGGGAGCTACTTCATCGGGCGGGTGGGCGTCAGCACGACGGTCGGCGAAACAAAAGGCAAAGGCACGAAATGACTCGGACGAAGCGGCCGAAAGGCGTATCGGGCGGCGGACTGTAAACACAGGACGGAGCGCCGCGCGGCTAGTCCGGCGGATCACTTCACGAGGCGGGCAAAAGGCGACGTTCCAGGCATGGTTCGGAGTCGACTGCGCCAGTTGTGAGGGCCGGGCGGGCTAGGCATGAAGGCTGAGAGGCGTTGTGAATCGAGAAGAATGCGCTTTATTCGAACATGAAAACGTGCCGACCGCGCCGGAGGCGGGAGCGAGATTGATAAAAAACGTGACCCCCGGCCCTCGCTTGGGCTTGGAGTTTATCTGAGTAAAGGCGCCGCAGGTGGCGCTGCCGATTAGATAGGCCGCTACGCTATAGTGCGCATGCGGGCGCTCACAGTGTACGCTCATTGCAACGGACTCGCATACGGCAGACGATTTGGACGTAATGGACTATTATTCAGCCCAAGTTTGGTCTGTGTATTAAATTATTGGAACGAAGTTCATTTTCAATGGACAGTGATACAATGCACTATCAGCTACAGTGGTCAAAATGAGCGTCATATTTCTTTTTAATTGGGTGCATAAAGTGTACTTTTCGTCGTGTTGATGCTGGATGACAGGATGTGAGACAGGCTAGAGTCTAGCCCACCTGCAGCACTGACATAGCTGACTTGACCGTGCCAACCCCTGCGCTCTGCAGACGTTCTAATTTTAAATTGTGGCTGGCAACACAGGGGGCTTCTGGCCAAGCCAAACCGCCAGCCAAGTCAGTCTGAGAGCCCATTGAATGGTTGAAGTGTAGCTGACTCAAACACGACATAAAATGATTGCATCATAGCTCAAAGGTGCTCGCCAATCTCTTGCTGCAAAATTCTTTTCGAGGTAAATGTAAGTTAAGAGTTGTTGTGTAGAGCGTGTTTTTTATGACAATGCTGTCCCATATATTCAGCATCTGTCAGCAGAACTAGCCTGCCCTATACTGCTAGGCAAAACCGAAATGATCATTACAAGTGCACCCCTCATCCCCTTTTCTCCATTTGGATATTGCAGACTTCGGATAAAATATACTCGCTCTGCCGGAATGCTTGTTATGAGAGTATACTGTGAACGAAAAAGTTACTGCAGTTCATCACCACACTCAAACCTCATTATAACAGAACTGCGTCTTGTAAGGAAATAAGTTCGTTATATCTGAAAATTCATTTAAAGGTTATTCCAAACACTCTTTCTAGTGTAAGACTACTTTTCATCTACTTCGTTATAACCAATATTTTGGTATATTCATGTTCGTTACATTGAGGTCAGAGTGTATACTCCATTTCATACATCACATGCAACGGTATGGAAGCTGGCACGACTTCTTGCAGTAGATGCGTTCCCACCAAAAGATACTTCATTGAATTCACCGTCCGTAATGTGACCTTTCCTTCTTAGACTTAGGAATAAATGAAGATGCTTTCTGTCTTAAAAATAAATAAAACCTGTTATTTATACTGTTGTCAGCAGGCTGTTCAGGCTGTTCGATTAGCTCCGGCAGCACGCTGCCAAAGCCAATTGCATAGGCCACGTTTACAAGAACGAAATCCAAGCATGCAACACACTGACTCCCAAACTTTGTTGACTAAACTTCTTGCACAACTTCTAGAGCATGGCACCTGATGTATGAAACGGAGTGTAATAAAGACCTTGAATAGTTTACACTTGTAAAAAGGTAACGGGGTCAACCTGTTTTGCGTCTTCATGTTCTTGTTGCGTGGGGCACCACAAGTCATTGCCAACTTTTATTGAAAAAAGTAAAACTATATATCCACGTCTAATGAGAAAAGCTAGGCTTTTGTTTTAGAATATACGATGCACACTTTTTCTATTGGGGGGGTTATCTCAATTTGTGTTCAGGGCAGTGCAGGGGAGGAGTGCAAAGGGGCTACTCGCCCCTCCTCCCCTCGACCTATGCCAGCATCTTCCTCTCAAGGGCGTTTGCCTCACTCCCTTGACAAAATCCTGCTTACCTTCATGGTTATCTGTCCTTTTAAATAATGTGGGAGAGTGTAGAACATCCCTTTTTTGCCAGCTGGAAAATGAAAATAGAGTGTTCCACATTCGCCTTTATCACTAGGAGAAGCACTAACACTCCCAAGCTTGCTTGCACATAAACACCCAATAAGGTGGGGGAGAAGACAGCTGCTGCCACTTCTCAATCGGTAAGACATGGGTCTTCAAACTGGGCTGCAGAACCCACGCGAAGGACACCTTAGGGTTCCACGTGTGGCGTGGATGAATGCAGCCCACTCGTGTTTTACCCCTATTAGCAACTAATTTATTAGTAAATTTTTATTGTGTTTTGCGTTCACGAAACCATTGCATGCCATATCTGCACTTCAGGTGTCTGCGGGTAGCGCGAGACCCTAGTGACAGTAGCTTGTCTGGTGCACCCCATGAAACTTGCACTTCTTGTGGACCCTTGGTGACAGAACGTGCGAAGCACTGGCAATTCGTTCTCGTGAGCGTTCAAACCAGTGTAAGCTACATTAACGAGTGCCTCAGCGCTCTATTCGTGGCTCATGCCGCATCCGTGATGACATTGCACAGTTTTAATACGTGATGATTAGTTACTGCTATGTGTCAGTTTTGTAATCAAAACACGCAACGAGGGATGTATGATATGTATAAGAGGTGTTGCTACATGCCAGCCATGGGCTACACGGGCATTCAGGCTTGCCTTTAGGACTGGTGGGTCTGCCGATGGCCATTTCGCTGTATGAGTGACTGGCGTTTTGAGTCAACACATTGGTTACGCTGCATGGTGCTCGAAGCATACATAGAATGGCCGCCAGGTGCTTTACGCGACTCGGGGAGTGGCGCAGGAGGGAATTATCACGTGTTATCTTGAGTTCTACACCAACGGCAATGGCCTTCGATATTACAGAAGAGAGAACAGGCCAACGCCGGCAGTGTTGATATTGTGGTTGTGCTTTCTATTGTCGCCATGCAAGAAAAAGTTACGGGTTCCCCTGGTGTCTGAAAAAAACTCTTGGGGTTCCTCAAGGCCAGAAAGTTTGAGAACCGCTGTGGTAGAGCGTGTTATCCAAAAGTTGCAGCTTCATTCTCTGCTGGCAGCAAGTTGCCTTTTCGTCTACTTTACTTTCTTCACATTTATATAGTACTTACTACGATGCAGTTAAAGTAGTATCATTAATGTTTTCTCTACCTGCCTTGGTGTCACCTGCTGGATTTTATTAAAGGGCCACTCACCAGGTTTGACAATTTTGAGCTGACAAGGGCAATGCGTGGACAAGGCGCTCATTATCACGTCTGCCAAAATTTGCAACGCTATGTGCTACAGAAATGGGTTAAATTTCAAAATGAACGCTGCTCCCCCTCTCTTCTGCCGGGGTGCGCCCAGAAAAGAAGGCATCACGTGCGCGTATGAATGGCCCTACGTACATGACAATGCAGTGACATTGGTCCTCTACGTAGACGACTCTGCTGTGACGTTGCAAACAGTGGCGCGTGACATGGCAAAAATTATTTAACATAGCATGCGTAGTTTATGTAATTTGTTGCTTGAAGAGATCAATAAACTTCTAGATAAATAATGAGACGCAATAAGGGAATGTGAGTGTATTTCTCTTGCGAATTGCAACGAGATGCTGGGCTAATGTGTCGACGTTTCGCATGTGTTGGTTTCCCCGCGGTCAGCGCATGGAGCAGACGACCATCGTGGAACGCTCTTACGCGTTTGCGCACTCATTGTCCTCATTTTTTCTACCTAGTCTAAGCCAACGTTTCCAAACCATCCCGCAGAAACAGGCAGAAGACCACAAAATAACGCTGTTCAACAAAGCAACGCCACTCGCGTGCTCGGGAGTTGGACTTGTTTGGGCACGTCATGCGCACGTGACGTCTTGGTCGGATGCCAAAGAGGGTGGGGAGGAGATTTGGCTTTCGAAGGCTACGCAGAGAAGCGGCAAGGGTTTCGAGCTCGCCTCCGTCTTCCTCGTGATGAACCGATTCAAAAAATTTTTGTGGCAAAATGTTTCTCATCGGACACCCAACAACTTTCACTATCTAACTAAAATTTGGTATGGGGCCTGGTGAGTGGCCCTTTAAGGTTGTTTGATATATTACATAGTCTGAATACAAGTGTCGTTGTTCAGGTGGCCCAGTTGAGCAAGTTTGAGCCTGGAGGAGGACTGGGCATCTCACTCGAAGGCACGGTCGATGTGGAAGATGGCCGAGAGGTGCGCCCGCACCACTACATCCGCTCGGTGTTGTCTGACGGCCCCGTGGGACTCAACGGCCGCCTGCGCCCTGGCGACGAACTGCTTCAGGTGCGATCGGCGACTTCTCTCATTCCATATGCCAAACATTCTCTAGGTTCATGTCTTGGAGATTTTAGGCCCACGTTCACAAACCAATCTTATCCTTCAAATTTCTGTACAATCCATGTGCGTTACAAGAGCAAGAAAAGGGTAACAAGGTAAAAGATGAGTAGTACAAGATTTATCTGTGAATACTGACCTACTTTGCTTATGAAATGCTCGAAATGCACATAACGAATAAGGAAAACGTGAGATAAGGATGAGGTTGGTTCAGGGATATAGGTCTTGGTTCAGTACTCTCGGATTTAAATATTTCACTAACACTGCGAGCGATGCTACTAGTACTGTCCCTCTTTGTCATTCCGTTCAAAGCTTTGGGCTCTATGGCAGTTCTTATAGAAATTCACCTTAAATTCTTATGCAGCCCTTAATTTTTGTATTTACACACTGTGTGTACAAAAGTTACAATAGATTTCTAGAGAAGACGAATGCGCATAGAAAGGCAGATAGTTATGTGGGCAGATGGGATTAAGAAATTTGTGGCGGTAATGTCACCACAACTAGCACTGGATTAGGCTAATTGACAAAATATGGGAAGAGGTTTTTGCCCAGCTCAGGCTGATGATAACGATGGTGATGGGCACAATGCGTGCAGGTGAACGGGCGTCAACTGTTGGGTCTGCACCACCGCGAGGTGGTGGGTGCCTTGAAGCAACTGCCCCTGCACGTGCGACTGGTGTGTGCCCGCCCCCGCCCTCTACCGCCTCCCCTCCCCTTGCACGGACCACCCCCAGTGAGCAGCGGTCGGCGGTCGCCCTCACGGGCTGCCTCTGACGAGCCCGACCCCTTCGCGTGCGATGACAGCAGCAGCTACATGGGTGAGTCTTTTGAGTCGGCAATTGCTGGTCTTGCTATGTTTGGTTGCAACCTAAAAAAAAAAAACCAGGAATGTGCTGCGCCTGACCGTGTTGCGCGAGACACGCAGCACAGTCACTACGAAAGCTGTAAATGCGATTTTTTTAGAGCCTTTTTAAACTCTTCGGGCAACTGTTGTAAGCACAGCGCTTGCGTGGCACCCAGTATACCATAAATCATCATACCGTATTTACTCGATTCTACCGCGCCCTCGATTGTAACGCGCACTCGATTTCCACCGCGAAAAAAAAAAAAAAAAAACGTAAGACATCGATTGCAATGCGCACCCATTTTTCTCGCTGGCCCGCACGATCACACCACTCGAAAAAACGACTCCTTTCGGGAGCGTCTTCCATTTAAATATGAGGTACGGGCGAAGCTTGTGCCCATCTGACGTGTAACAGAGCATTGCCGTCACTGTAGTTTTACCTTGGACCGATGTCAGCACGCGAACTTGCTTCGCCCCGTTCTTCTCGGCGGTTGTGGTGCCAGGCATGTCGAAGTAAAGAGGCGTCTGGCCAGCATTCCCGATTTGCCCAAGCAGGTAGCCGTTGTTGCGCCGCAAGTTTAGGACGAACCTCTGAAAACTGTGAAGCTTTTCATCGTACTCCTCCGCAAAACTTTTCGCATATGCATGTTCCCCTTCGGAGGGAAAAGCCTTTCCTCTTCATAAAGTTAGTTAGCTAGCACCTGCTCGCTTTAAACTGGCTCCGCATTAGACCTTTTTCTAAGACCAATTGCATAGCCTGCACTTGGAGCAGTTCTGTCGTCACGGGCCGCTGTGCCGCTCGCTGCTCAAGCACATACTGGCTGAGCAGCTTTTTAATTTGCGGAAACCGACCCTGCTGTGGTACACTGAAGCCTTTGCATGAAGTTTTGCTGTTGACAATCTTCTGCTTTTGTTTCCCCCAGTCCCGCACGCATGTTTCGGGAACTCCGAACGACCGCAATGCGGCCCTATTTGCGGCCGTTTCTGCACACGCGATGACTTTTCTTTTGAAAGCGGCATCGTGGTGCACTCGAGTTTTTGGAGTCGGCCCTTCCACGCCGTTGATGCTAATGCACTACTAGATGACGAACTCCTCAGCACACGTACGAAGTGCCGCACATGGGAAACACATAGGCAGAAATGGCCGACGCGCCATGCCGACGCACGTAGGGGGCGGCCATTTTGGATTTGCCGATGGCAATAGATTGACCGTAATTTTTTTGTTCGTACTCGATTCTAACGCGCATGCGACTTATGAACTCGCTTAACCGGAAAAAAGGTGCGCGTTAGATTCGAGTAATTACGGTAATTTTTGTGTAGTAGGAAAGTGTCCAGTTTGCCATTATTTGTTATTTTTCGAAAAAGGGTGGTACGCTCTACCCATATGTAAGACATTATGCACGCTTTGCTGATGCTGTGGCTTACGACGAAGGATTTTGCATGAGAATTTTGTGATGGGTTATAGTATTACACATGCTAATGCAATTTCTTACTGGACATGAAGCCTGCATAGCATAAGTTCACAGTGGAGTTTCAAGAACCGGCGTAGCTCACTGGTAGGCCACCACACAGAGGGCCCGGGTTCGATTCCTATTGTGTCCTCGGTATTTCTTCATTTGTCTAGTTTTTTTGTGTTTGTGCAACTGTTACAGACACCGGCAGTAATGGCGATAGTGGTCAACCACAGCAACAGAATCAGCCCTTGTGATCTGAAACAACTTTCGCTGTAAAAAAGTTCACACTAGCCTTGTAAAGTTTAGGAAAGCAGCGAAGTTGGTAGATCTTAAGCACTTAGCGTGGCCCTTTTGGCCGATGCTGTAGGTCTTTCCTTGGCATAGACAGAGTATACTTGAACTGCAGCCTGTCACAGACCACGCAAAAATATCCTGACTCCAGCACTAGAATCATGCACGCAAACCTGGCTGCGGTACACCCCGCTAAAAGTGTGCACGTTTCGTAGCTCGTACTCTGCTTGTGCTATGCCGAGCAAACTCAGCGCAGCGACTGCGCGCACGGTCTCCCTCTGCTGCTTTGCGACGCATGCTTGGCTAGGCGAGGTTAAACTAGGTTGGTGTGCAGCTGCGTCTTGGTTGTTCCTGGGCAACAGCGTGGAGGGTTTTTGGTAGACATGTTTTTCCTCGAGCTTTGGGAGCCTCACTGTTAAATACCCCTGATGCTCCTGCAGAGCGGCAGTATGCTGGCCCTTCTCCTGTGAAGAGTCATGCTAGCTGGCATATGCTAAATCATTAACTTTTTATTCGGCTTATGTAAAAACTACAGTGCCCCGCTGCGGTGGTCTAGTGGCTCGGCTGCTGACCCGCAGGTCGCGGGTTCAAATCCCGGCTGCGGCGGCTGCATTTCCGATGGAGGCGGAAATGTTGTAGGCCCGTGTGCTCAGATTTGTGTGCACATTAAAGAACCCCAGGTGGTCAAAATTTCCGGAGCCCTCCACTACGGCGTCTCTCATAATCATGTGGTGGTTTTGGGACGTTAAACCCCACATATCAATCAAATCAATCAAATACTGCAGTCAAACATGAATATGTCGAACTTAAAAGGGATCGCAAATTAGTTCGATATATGAAAAATACAGACCCCGAGAGGTTATTTGTAACGGACCATCACCTACAATAGGCGCATTCTAGAATGACAACTATTTCTGCACACACGCCGCAACAGAATGATTTATTTGCATGAAAAAAAAAAGGGCTTATCTTGGCCTGCTTCTTCATTTTTGAAATGAAGTTGAAGACGCTAGTCTTGATCTTATTAAGGCTGTCCAGGTGCGACAGCCTGGTTCCCTCAATGTGGCCAATACAAAGGCAAATGATGCCGAAAGCTGCCGTCACTTCAGTGCGTGTAGCCAGCGCCTCGTCCAGACGATCTTCCTCGTCACGTGAGCTATCATCTTAGGCATCCTGGGTCCGTGCAACCACAGCTACTATGTCCTCATCAGCGAAGCTTTTAACGGCCTAGGGAATCGCAGTCTGTTTTCCAAGAAATCATCCGGTGACACTTTGTGTGAAACTGCAGCCAGTAAGCGAGATGACAACTCGCGAAACCCGTCGTCTATGCCTTCGTAGTCGTCATTTTTATCAGTTTCCGCAAGTTCCGCCATCTCGAAGTCTGCCTTACGAAAGCAGTTGACCACTGTGCCCGCCTTCTCATCTTGCCATGCGTTGAAGATCTATGTGGGAAAAAATTTCGCGGAGATTTCCAGCCACTTCTTCGTCATGCATTGGTGGATGTCCTGGCTGCTGACAGCTTCGCTTTCACCAGAAATGGTTTTGCCAACGATGTTGTAGCGCTGCTTAAGTCGGTGAAGCCACCAGGTGTTGTCGGCGAAGTTGTTTCACCGAGTGCAGCGGCAAACCAGTTGGCCTTGGCCATCAGCATCGGGCCATCCACCGGAATGTTCTTTGTGCACACTTCTAAAAACCAGGCATAGAGTGCCTTTTCTACATTCCCGTGGGCAAAAGTGCGCACATGACAGGCTCTCAACGTTCGCTGCTCGGCCGCCTTTGCCTTGATATCTGCTTTGTTCTTCAACAAAGTACTCGGAGTGCTCCGTGGTACCCTGAAATTGTCCACGACATTCGAACATTTCTCGCCTGCCTCAACACGATGAATACCCTTGCAACTTCGTTGCAAAGTCAAGGTCTCGCACATCTTGACGGCTGGCCATAGCTATGCGAGAAGTCTTCAATTCAAGATTCGAGTCCACAGCGGCTTTGCACACCACGCACGCAAAAGAGAAATGCTGCACATGCGGTGGTACGTAGGCAACGCGACAACGGAACGGAAGCAACAAAGCATTGCAAGGCGATGGCCACCTGCGAGGGCAACAGCAAAGGCACGAACTGTGGTTGGCTGATCAAAACTCGCAAAACAGTAACAAGAAAATAAAAGGCGAAAGGAGGAGGACATCGGCTTCTTTCCTACTCTTCGAGCCGACGGGTACGTGTAGAAAGCATGAGAGAGAGAAAGGAAACGCAAAAAAAAAAATTACCGTTCCGCAAGTTGGAGATTGGGCAGTCCAAGCCCTATCGCCTTTACCTCTTTTCAAGCGTTTCGGGTTATGTGGGAGGCGAGGTGCCGCGCGGAGGGCGCCGGGCGCTGTGAGTGCCAAAGCGCTCCTTCTAATTTGTACGCAGAGCTGCCGAGATCGCGGGGCACGGCGAGTGCCGAAGCGCACCTTCCAGCTTGTGCAGCGTTTGATATATTCGAAGGCAGCTGTAAATACCGTTCGATATAAACGTGCCAATTTCTATACTTTCACAAAAGAATTTAAGGGCTAACGAGTTCGATATACCCGAAAATTCGATATATGTGGGTTCGATATTTCCGTGTTCGACCGTAATCATATTGTCACGGTATTAAAATCAGTGCAAGTAATAGTGTTGCAAACAGCGGAACAGCTTCAATCGAGAAGCACGAGTTCGTCGTCGTCTTTCTGCCGACCGAATCCTTCGACACCCACAAATAATGATGACACTAGCCACGCAACAGCCAGAAGCCCATTACATGCTTGTGTCAACATTAAGAGTTGAAGGTTCTTTGTTAATACTTAAAACGTAGCATTTAAGGTTGAAGTTTAAGGTTTGTTACAACCACCCAGAGGTTGAAATGTAATAGGGGTGTTGCCATTGTACAAGTGTCTATAAAGAACATGTAGCCATGAGAATTTTTCAAAGCGGTGCCTTAATAGCGGAGTTACATGCCTTTGATGATACAAAAAAGGGCCATCGCTCATTTCACGCTTTCCTTCTTTCCTCAGCTCGTCTTTTCTCCTGGCCGAGTGCTCCTTCTCATCATTAGAGGTAGAAGAGCAGCGAGCGGACAAACAGGGTTGTAGATGGCAAGCTGATCACATGCCGATGTAACGGCCGACACTTGAGGGGATGAGCACTGCCGAAAGGACCGCAATGGCAAAGAGAATGTTCCTTTGAATTTTTGGGGCACCTGTGGCTTGTA